AGTAATGCCGCTAGCTTTTCCCACTACAGTGATATCTATTTATCTACTTTTCATTCTCTTTCAAACTGCTAGGTGGGAAGGAGCTAGAGGCAAATGATGGGAGCTCACTCTGCCACGTGGTGTCATGGGTTCAAACAGCCAGCGTGCCGACCATCTTTGGCAGATATATCCAGGGTTATTAAGCTGCTGTGCCACTGTGCTCCCTTATGTTAAGCACCAATATAAACTATCTATCAATCCAGCATAACTGATATTTCTGGTTGCACATCAAGAAAAGCTAGAAGCCCTTGTTTAAAATCTCCACAATGATTTAAATTTGGCTTATGAATCCCAGCTATTGAGATAATAGGTCACAGTTTTAAGTCTGTATGTATTACAAATAATATTTACAGTTACTACAGTTATTGTTGCTTTTCTACCCTTTCAAGGAATAAGCAGAATAAGACATTTGCTCATTCAGAGAGTTGTCAGCTTACGACAGATCGCTTTTGACCAGAATGTTGACTTTTGCTATCTTCAAAAGAGACTTTTGTCTTTCAGAAACACATGGAAAGGCAAAGACACTCTTACAAAGACATCAAAATCCATATTCTGGGCAGAGAGAAACACTGGTTTGAAAGAGGAGTTAAAGAGGCCACCTGTGTTAAAAATGAAAAGCCCCCTCTCAACGGAGAGGGAGGGATGACACCACCTATCTCCTGTTTACAACATAGTCCTTCCAGCAGTTCCACACCAATGATGGGATTCAAATTGTTGTACCACCAGTTAGGTGGGCGTGGCTTGGTGGGCGTGGCTTGGTGCTTTCCCTAATGCCAGCGCACAGCTTTCCCCACACCAGCTGAGACCTGCAGCACCAATCAGCTTGAGAGGATAAAGAGAAAAACGCAGGGGCGGGTAGGAGGGCCGATCCTACCTTTTCTCTTCTTTTTCCTCTCAGCTGATTGTCAGGATTTTTTCTCCTCCTCTCAGCTGATTATCAGCTTTTTTTACTACCGGTTCCACAGAACTCACCCGAACCGGTAGCATACCACCAATGTTCCACACCCATTTGCACTTCGATTTAGGTGACTCTGAGGACACAGATAAACCTCCAAGTGACCTTAATGACTCTCAGAGAGCTAATGATCTATTCTCACAGTGCTAACGACCAGGTGACTGCAAAGAATATAAATCCTTCCATTCCCCACCATTCAGACAGAACTGAAGAAGCTTTTTGGATAAGAAGCGAAATGTTTTCAAGAAAAACAACCTCAAGGAAGTCCAGTTGCCTTTTGGAAAAGCACCTTTGGGACAACCATGACCTGGATGATTGAGAATCTCCATGAGCATGTCTCACCTACAGTACATATAAATTTAATAAATAAAATAATATCCACCTTCCATTTTAATCCTGGGCGAGCAAGTGGAATGAATCTTTTATCAAACATATGCGAAAATGGTCCATGACCTAAAAGTAAAGATTATACAATTAATCTTTGGCAGAGTAAAGATGTATTTGTATGTCTTTAAATGCATATAGATATACTCAGATGCATAGACAAACGTTCCTCAAATCTATTAGAGCCAAAGTAGTCACTTATTGTTTATTGAACCTGAGTTGGTCATTTTTTAATCCACTACCTCTCTCTCTGATTAACAATTATATTAGAATTTAAGATTTAAGTTTCAAACTCTTTTCAGAATATTGGTGTTTTAATTGTGTTGAAAAGACCACGTTGAAATAAGTAATTTAATTTATAGAGTAGAACTTTAAAATTTAAAAGCAATATTAAGCCAGAGAAACAAACCAGAAATAAAAAAAATGGCATGTCCTTCTTGTTACATTATTGAAAATATGGTTTGTAATCATCCTCAAAACAGGAAAACCTTATCATTTGAACTTGCTATTTGTGCTAATTGATAATACACAAGATGTATCTTTCTAACAACTGCATCACATATTAAGACCATGTTTAGTTTTCTTTTCATAGAATAATTATGCTAAATTATTGCCAGAGTTTCCAAGGCAAGATCCTCCTGCCTTACCTTTCTTTTAGATGTTTCTAAATATTAACATTAAATGAGTATTATTAAAAAGCTGGCATGCTGCAAAGCAAAACATTAGCAGTGACATTAGTCATTTACAGAGTTATTTGTGTAAATATCTCAGAATTCAACACAAATGTGGTGGCTAGCTACATCTTAGGTCTTTGTTATAAATGAACAAAGTAATCAGGGACCTGAAAGCAGGCAGCCTGAGGAACTGGACAGCGTAGGAGGGAAACTTTAATGAAGTACAACATTGTAATAATATTCCTGACAAATTCAATTGCTGGTCAGTAACTGTGATAAAAACTATCTATTCTGTAAGCTTTACAGTTTCCTGTACAAAATAATGACAGCTGGGGCTAAAAATAAGATTTGCCACTGTAAGCCCAAATTAAAACTATATATCCAAATAAACAGTGGCAGAAAGCTAACAACAAAATAAATTATTTTGAACTGAAAAGCTCCAATCAGCAGCAGCAGAAATATACTCTTGTGCATGATTAGCTCTTTTTGTTTCAGCATACTTGATGGGATTGACCTTGTGACTTTCTATCTATCTCATAGGATTTGGGATGGACTGTCACCCTGCCTAGATTACTTCTATGTCATCTTCGTGTGACATACCTCTATGTCACATTCCACTGGTTGACAAACATTGAATTACCACACTGAATTATCCGTATATAAGGGTCAAAATAATGAATTCTAGTTGAGGCATTTCATAATTAAATTGACTTTTGTAATCCCTTTGTATAACCTTAGCCACTTTAAGCTCAGCAATCACATTTTAAATACCTGACACAGTTTACATCAAATTAGTATATTATTTTAATACAACTGTTAAAAGTGTTACAAGAAATAGTTTGAAATGGTATGTTTATATATGCATATTACTTATTAATAGAACTTGCTTACCCAAGTCATGACAAAGTCCAGCAATTTGAACACAGAGAATATCCCTCTGATCAATATTCAGTTCAGGTTGTCGTTCTTGCAACGCCTGCACCAAACGGCCTGCGAGATGACTAACACTTTTCCAGAAAGGGAAGAAATTAACTTTTCTATGTCTTGAGTTTAAGATTTATAAATAAAATAGGAATTTAGGTGACAAAAACAATGCAATTATGAGCTATGCTATAAGGCTTATTTAAATTCTGAATTTCCATATTATATAACAGAGAATGTTTCATGTTACTGATCTTTGTTTTAAATAATGTGAAATGTGAAATTTAATGTGAAGCAAGGAAGAATATATATTTTTCTCATTTTTAAAGGAAGAAAACAATATCTGCATATTCTTGCCTGTATTTTATATACACTATGTAGAAACCAGTTTTCTTTAGCTCAAGCAGAAAATTAAGAAAACTTTTCCTCTCTCTCTTGAGCATGAGAGAGCACCATGGAGCATAGAAATCCTACAATATAGAGAGTCTCTCTTCAAAAAGCCTAGTTTTACTAATGGTATACAACATAATAAAATGCATTATATTCAAGATACTGGCTACATAAACTAAGTAGCCTTTCTTTTCATCTACAATTATTAGTGGTGATTCCCAAAGTTTAAGAAAAAATATTATGGATTGTACATTTTAAGAGTATTTAAATATGTGGCATCATAAAGCAAAATTTAAATATAAAAATCTCCGTCAATGGGAAACATATAGCAGAAACTGTTTTTTTTTTAAATTCAGCATAATCATTTTACTTATACAAAAGCAATTTCTGTGTATAAACTAAGTAAACATTACTCCTTACCCAAGAGAATGTTCAAAGCGATTGTGTGATGCTCCTGGGAAAACATAGTAAGTGCCACCCAACTGTTTAATATATCGTAGACGCTGAAACTGAGGTGTGTCAATGATGCGAACAAGAAGAGGATGCATTTCAATATGTCCATGGATTGGGTCATTAAATACCTGGAAAAAGCAAAACAAAAATTTAAAATATCAGTTAATCTATAATAAATAATATTTCAATCAAGAACATTGCCT